GGGGACTTCGTTGCTCCTGGTACATAGATGAAGAAGGAATTCTGCAGAGATAGATGGGTAACACACGCATGTGTGAGGGCTTTATGGGTTTGTTTGCTTTGGGGGTGGGTATCACTTACAGTAAAGGGATCTGTTGGTCTTTTGTTCTGAAAGATAAGAAATGCAGAGTGTAACAAGTACTTTTAACTTGTGGCGTAAGACCGTACAGCTACCGGAGCTCCTGTGTTAGCGCAGACCTTCTCCCCGCACCCAGGAAAAACTGTCCGTGGTCACCACACCCCCAAAACAAGTGAACGTGATGGAAATCAGAATCTGTAAGTGTCTCTGAGGTGCTGCTGATGGTCCGGCATGTGGAGTCCTGAGTCAGGTTTCCTGATGTACTTCCAGTTTCTGCCAGGGCTACTCTCAGTTAATGCACTGCTCAGGGTTTCTCACATCAACCCCAAAGGTGCACTGGGTGACTGAGGGAGGGCCTCACAGTTACCCTGAGCCACTTGGCACTGGCCCTATCAATACAGGATCAGAGGGAGGCAAGTGCTCTCTTCTCTCCACACCCAGGGTTCTCAAGCTCCCCACTCACTCAAGGGTATCCAAGGGTGAACGCACAGCATGGCATTAGTGGCTACATTTATTGCTCTGCTCATCTTTTCATATAATCCGTACAACAGCCCCATCAACATGGTACCTCCAGAGGTGACACCCCAACTTCAGAATGCACAGACTCTAGATCTGGTGGAACCAGGAATCTGGCATTTTCCTTACTTGGTAGCACTTTGGGTTTTCCAGGAGGTCTTGTGGAACTGAGAGTTAATTCTTAGCCTTCTATAGAATTGGTTTTCTCATGGGCATACTACTGGAGTGCCCATACTTTGGGTCATTGCATCACCTTGTGGTCATGACAGGAACTACAACCTCTTCCAAGTCCCAATCACATTCTGCAAGAAGTTGAAGGCTACCTGAAAGCTGGGGGAAACGGCTGCTAGAATGCGCCCTCCCAAAGCTGGCCAGCTGACTTGGAGAGCCAGGCCAGCCTGGGGTCTCTCTCACATTTTCACTGCTATGGCTGAGGAATGGATGCTCTGTGTAGGAAAAGGGTCTGAGTCCCCTCTGCTCTCAGTGTCCTTCTGCACCTTCAACGCTTTGCTGACACCTGGCCATGGAGTGTTGGTCCAGTGGTGGTTGACTATGCTGCGCCCCCCCCCCCCCCCCCCGCCGCCGCCGCCGCCATTCTCCTCTGTGGGCTGCGAGGGATCAGTGGACTCTGCAGCTCACTTTGCCTCAAGAGCATCATCTTGATGATTTCTGCTAAGCTCACTGTACTTTTGCCATGATATAAGCAACACAACCTTGGACAATACACACATTTCAGTGAGCATCCTCTGCACAATGGGAATAAGGCTATATCAGAGATCTGGGGTATGACGGAATGAAATGCTGCATTGTCTATGCAAGGCAACTCACACTTTGAACTTCTTTCCACAAGTGGATCCACGAGAGTTAGCAGTGAGCGCCTGCAGGAGGTCAGAAAGATCAGCTGGCGTCCATAATTACGAGCCATACCCACGTGCAGTGAAGGCTGCCTCTGCTGTGTTTGTAGCTCATGCAAGGTCTGTTAAAACAGTCCCATGTTCCAGTCCATGGGATCACGATTAACAACTTCACAACTGTCCTGTAAGAGGTGTGATATGCACACCAGCAGGTTTACAAGCAAGAAGGTGATGGCTTTCTTAGGTTCTCAGAAGAACAGTGCTAAGGCTGGAATGTGGCTCATCGGACTTTTGATCGTGGCACTTGGATTTACCAGTGCATCACATTTTATCTCTTTTTAACATGGATCAGGTGCTTCCAAACTTTCTGAATGATAAGCCATAGTAAGAAATACACTCTGCAGCATACACTCACATGTAAGTACACAGCTGGAATGAAAACCGGAGAGGACAATGCTGACCCTACATCCAGCATATGCTCTCCTGTCTTGCTAGTTAAAGAGTGATGCTCATCTCTCATTAGAGTGACTCACAGCCTACCAGTCAACCAAAACTCCCATACTGGAAGAATCTTGTCTAGAAATTTCTCAAACAACCTGCACTGGATATGGGACCATTGCAAAGACAGAGGGTTCAAATTATACTAAGAATCTAAAAGAACAGGTAGGAAAGTAAGATGAACTTAGGAAGCTCCATCAACAAGAACAGATGTGCTTAGGCCAAGTAATTATTTCTTCAGTTTGATAACTTGGACATGTGGTAGTCACTCCTCATCCCCAATGATTATAGATACTTGGACTTAGCAGGGAGACAGGTTACTGAAGCCCAGAGGGGGACTCTTCATCCTTACTATGTTTTCTGCCCATACACAGATGTGCTATGGAATATTCCTTTCCCAGTGTCCCAGATGGCATTGCTGAGCTTGGTTATCAATGCACACATCTGGAGTTCCCATCTCCTCTATGGCAAATTCTGGGATGTCTGTGATGCCCACTCCCTGGATACATGTGCAAATGCTGATATCTATTTTAAGGTCACAATTTATTGATGACAGAAGAGCCCATTTTTGTTGAAGCCATTCAGTCCAGAAAGAAAGGGTAGGAGGGACTGTGACATAGAAGTGGCATTGCAGGAAGTCCAGTGACTTCTGGAGAGACCTTCTGAAAATGGTTTGAAATGTCACAGAACCGAACGACAGTGCTGCATCCTGCAACAACATCTGAAGACAGCTTTCATCTCTCAGAATTAGTCTAGCCTCTTCACACATCACCCCTGCCCACCCAGCTCTCAAGCTCCGAGGGAAGCAGCTGTCCCCTGCTTCCAGAGTGCCCAGCATTTTGCCTGATGGTGCTCAATAAATACCAGTTCACCAAAGTAAACAAGGAGATGAATAGTAGCTGTCCTGTTTTCTTGCTATTTTTTACTACTCAAAGTAATTCTGAGTACAAAAGGCCAAGGCAGTCAAACATTAGTGACGATCAGTTCCCTCATCACTGGCAAGGCTGAGTCTGGAGGAAGAAAACACCAAGAAAGAATCAACACAGTTCTAACTGACCCCTTGATGTCTACCACCTAGCCTTCTGTGAAGGAAGCCTGTGCCCTTCAAAACAGTGTATTAATTTGCATGTATATGGGTGCGTGCATGCTGAGGTGGAGGTCAGAGGACAACCTGGGTGTCAGTCCTTGCCTCTCATCGTATTTGAGACCCCACCAGGGTCTCTTGTTTACTGCTGTCTACACCAGAGGAGCTGGCCTGTGAGGTTTTGGAGATTCTCTCGTCTCCGTCTCCCATCTTGCTATCAGAGCACTGGGGTTATGGATGCACAGTACTGTGTCCATCTTCACATTAGTTCTGAAGATGTGAACTCTGGCTACCCACTTTGTGATGAGGCTTTCTCCTCTTTTCCTTTGGTGACTCAACTGTTTGCTAATTTTGCTGGTGTGTGTAGACTCTGTCTGAGCCAGACTGACACAGTCTAACCATAAGGGAAGAACATGACTTCTGGTTCTAAAGCATATTATAAATGTGTCTATGATAGGTGTTCTGTTATGTATTTGAAAGCATTGGAGGGCCACTGTTCTATGAGATCTTGCCACAACACTGTCCACACTGATGAATCTGGACTGCTTGCTCAGATACCCTGGGAGTGGCAGGCCAAACAAGAGTTCAGCTCTAGACAGCTGTCAATCTTGTCTGCAGCTTTCCGTGGATCCAAGTGCTAGCGCTCCTTGGCTTATCAAGTGAGTCCCAGGGTCTCATGGAGTGCCCTTGCACAAACCGAACTCTATAGGACACTTCCCCCAGGGAAGCAGGATGCTGCACAAAGGCCCTCCTCTCTGGGTAACGATGGCCCTATTCCTTGGGGCATACCTGGACAGAACAGCTGTCCTACTCACCCTGCATGCTCTGAGTGATGCTGAGGGAGGCAGGGAGGGTGCTGGACCAATGCCACCTTTTTAATTTCTCTCCCCAAATGCATTCAGGGGAGGACAAGGTTGCAATGCATCCTCAAGGCCTCAGTTTGTTTATGAGTCATCATTAAGAATGATGACACCCGCATACAATTTTAAAACCAGCATATAATGTCCGTATCACATCCTTGTCAAACGATGCTAAAATGTTCTCTAGGTTTAGCAGCAGGGTTGCTGTTGCCTAGGAAATAAAAATGCTTCTATAAAGTGGAGGGCGAAGGGTCATCCAGAATGGCTCAGTGGGCAAAGGCACTTGCTCCCAAATCTGAGTGCAATCCCCAGAACCCACATGGCAGAAGGGGAGAACCAACTCCCTCAAGCTGTGGTGTAACCTCTACATGCACACTCAAACACACACAACACAAGTAAATAAATGTTAAAAAAATCCCAACCCTGAAAATGATGACAATAAATCAAAGATTCCTGAAGAGAACGAAAAGACTATGGGTTTGGATGGCGGCTCTGGTGGACTCTGTGGCCAATTCATAAAAATAGCCCAGAACCTCAATTTCCATAGAGCACTTCTATAAGGACCAAGTAGATGTATAGTCAGTCAAACTACTGAGCCCAATATTTAGCTCTTCATTACATTTTTGTTCTGTAAACATAATTTTCAGGATGGAAGCATACACACTTATGTGTCAACTTTTACATATCTAGTTGTGTAAAACTGAACAAAGCCTTTTGGGCTGACGGAAGCAGAAAAGAGAAAAAATACTGGCTATATTTTAAGAGCATTTAGCCACGGGAAGTCTCAGTCCAGTATTTCAGCTTCCAAACAAGGTAGAGCTGTTTGGCAATGTATACGCAGGACGGGACGCGCATCCGGATGGGGCATGCGCATGGGTACTCTAGCAGTTTTTGTCTTTAATCAGGGAAGCTGGCAATGTCAGAGACAACCAAGGCAGAACACGAGTGTGTGTGTGTGAGTGTGTGTGTGTGTGTGTGTGTGTGTGTGTGTGTGTGTGTGTGTGTGTCTGCTCATTCTCTTGAGTGACTAAGCACCAGTCCCTCGGGTGCAGAGTACAGCACACCACCCACCTTTCTCTTCCTGGGAATGGGCTCATCGAAGAGCAGGTTGCTGGCCTCCGCCTCGTCGATGCCGTCATCGGGCGGCGCGGGGCTTCGGAAGGGCTTGAAGCTGTCGGCCGACAGTGGTGGCGAAGGTGTGGACGGGTTGGACTGGTCACTGGGAGCGCTCCAGCTCCAATAGCCGCTGCTGCTGCTGCTGGACGGTGCGCCCTCCTTCCAGGACCCGCTGAGGCCCTCTGTGAGCACAGGGACAGCAAGTGAGGGCCTCTGGGGAAGGGTCGGAGCTCTGTCCTCACCTCCATGTTGCAGGCAGTAACCCACGGCGGCTGTAAGTTCTCACCCACCCCAGTCACACGGTAGCTTCTAAGTAGTTGTTTGAGCCACAGCGCGGCGGGGCCGTGTGGGCTCTGATGTGTGTGTTCCTGCACAGCGCTCCTTCCTTGGGACTGGTGGAGATTAACCGAAAACAAGGAAGTAACGGTTATTTCTTGTTCACCAGCTGTGGGGCCTCTGGGCTTGCTGGCTGCCGGGATTCTGAGTGTTAACACTGCCTGCGGTATCCTCCTACCTGGCCACCAAGCTGCCCCCTCCGGTTCCATTCTCTTTTTTTAAAAAAGGCATTACTCATGTGACTATGGTTCCTGGGACGTATGTCTAAGAAATCAGATTAAGACTTAAGACTCTGTCAATCAGAATCGATAATTTCTAGGCTGGCATCTAAAACGACTTCCCACTGCTGATTAAAACAAATAGTGTCTTATACTCTGGCTGCTCTTATATCCTTTTAAACTTAGTTTTCAAACTTAGTGTATAAAATAATGGGTTTTATAATGGCATTCCCACACATCTGTGTCATTATACTTCATTCTAATTCTTCCCCTTCCCTCCGGCCCCCTCCTAGTAGTCTCCTCCTTCAAACTTATTAGTCCCCCACTTCCGCGCTCGTACTGTGCGTTCCAATTCCCCCTACTTAATGGAGCTCATCTGCAGTTTCAAACACTGTTACGTCTGTCACTCAGAGTAAAGAGTGTCCCCATTTGACCCTGGCATAGGAAGTTCATCTATCGGCTGTCTAACTAGTAAGTGACCCCGGGCGGCTGAGGCCAGGACCTGGTCCCCCTAGTGGCCCTTGGTCCTCCAGAGCATGCAGGCCCTCTCCCATGAGCATCTCTTATTGCTGTGGTTGGGCTGGATTGCATCAGAATTTATTGGCGATACCTACTGACTGGACTGGTGCTCAATTTAACTGCAGGAAGTCCGACGCAGAGATTTCTTCCTGTTAGCATCAGAGGAGGGTGGCTTTTAATCACTGCAGATTTCCTTTCTCTTTCAGGACACCCAAACTTATTAGCATTTATATCAATTCTACTTTCTGAATAATTCCTCTTCCATATTTATGTGCATTGCGAATATATTAAAACCCTAATGGGTAGGGGAAGGGGGAGGAAATCCCAAAATGCTTCATTAAAAATATTACTAATGTCTGTGTAATTACTAATGAAGCAAAGATGAAGAGTAGACTAGTATTCATAGAGAAATCACTACCCTTACCTAGTTATAGATTTCCAGCAAATTCCTCAACTATACCAAACAAAGACTTTGGTAAAAGTCATCAAATTTTAAACTGAAGCGGCAGCTGCCCATTTCACGATGGTAAGACTAGCAGAATTAATTTTTTTTTTTAAGCATCACAAAGCCAGTGTAGACTTCCGCCCCTGCAGACTGAGGGTGAGGAACGGATGCTCAGGCACACAGCAAACTGCAGGGGCCTCTCTAACAGGAGCGCTGAATGCAGCACAGCATCCTTCAGCCATGCCCCCTCACAGACTCCTACAGCAAAGTGAAGTTCACGCTGAGGAACGTGCTGTCACGGTCCGCAGGAGAACGCGCCATCGTCACGGTGGGTTATGTCGCTTCCCGTCAGTGTCAGCAGGGTATCTGCTTACCAGTCTGTGAATACTTCCTTCACTCCTCAGCCAGGAAGACAAGCTAACGCAAGATGAATCTTTCAGAAACACTCATCGTGTTTCCTGGGCTGCAGCATTGCCTCATCTTAAGCCAGCATTAGCCAAATAGGCAGACGGGCCCAGCTGGGCTCTTAGCTCTTTGCAAAGCTACCGCCTAGCAGAGAAATCCTTCTCAGTCACAGAAAAGGATCACAACAGGTTCCCCAAACTCACTGGTAGATACAGCATCATTCTAGAAAACAACTTTACTCCCCTAAAAACTAATGACTTTATTATGATAAATTGCTTCCCTTACTTAGAAATTTGCTTCCTTTTGTAAACCAAATGATAGACTTCAAATTCAGTAGTTGAGTAGCTATTTTAAAATGATTTTATTGTATTTATTTATCTATTTATTTATTTTGAAGCAAGGTCTCTCTGTGTGGGCCAGGCTGGCCTCATTAATTCACAGAGATCCATCTGCTTTTGCCTCTTCAGTGCTGAGATTAAAGGCATTTGCCATCACACCTAGCTAAGTAGTGGTTTTTTAAACCATCAATGAACACTGACAAACTCTATTGCTGTGCTAACAGAAGTGTGTATTGAAGTATGAAAAGGTTTATTTTCAATCTAACCTTTAAATACAAAGGAACAGGAGAAATGTTCTCAATTAAAAAAAGAATCATATAGTAAAAATAGTGATTAATTTAAAAATATCTTTTTCCCTCTACAGATTCAAACTCATTCCTAGAATGTTTTGGTGGTGCCCCAGTTTGACCTCCAGCAATGCTGCCTAGCGAGAAAGGCAAATCTGGGTATCCATTTGCCAAGAGGCTCCCAAAAGGCCAAGGCACCAAATAAGAATGATCACGTCATCTCAAAGCATGTGCTTATGCAGTATACATAAGTTCATCTACGTATACGTCTATATTTAAAAACACATGCATACACACATGCAAACATGTTTGCAGCCTGGTATTCTAATCCTAATTTTCAGCCACCTGGGTGGATCACTTTAGCAGCTCTCTCTCAGTCTCAGAAGAAAGACTTCTGGCCAGGCATACATGATCTGACACAATAAAGCTCCTGTTCTCCTCTGTCCAGCTCCATCTCCCACTGTCTGCTTCCCCAAGTCATCATGAAGATTAGGTGAATCGATATCACACCCACAAGTAGAAAGGCAGATCTGGAATCAGGAAGACAGGAACTAGAAATGTAGTGCTACCATTTGAAAGCCAATTAGTCCGCATGTGCCTTGGTTTACCTATCTGTAAAATGGTGATAATAGCATCTCGTACACTTGCTGGTAGAAATACCCTGAGATAAAGTAAGTAGAATACTCGGCAGGTAGTTAAGTCACTGCTCAATTAATATGCTAGCTGTTAATGATGCCATGACTGACAGAGTTTTTCTTCCTGAAGGGGACTCTCTCTGAGTACAGGCACTATTTATATTCTACAGATACACACTCAAATCACCTGGGTGGTATCTGATATACACTGAATTCATGAGAAGACTAAATCCTTCTCTTGGTTATGAAGTGTGATAATGCTTTTACAAACTGCTGGATCTTCAGTGAGTTCCCTCATCCAACTACCTCTCAATGAGAAAGAAACTATGCTGGGAAAACAAGTTCATTAGACTGCTCTCCATTAGCCTAGGGAAAGGGACGTCCGTACTGCACAGATGTGTCCTGGGAAGGCAGCAAGCACGTCTCAGAGCTCAGTAGATGTGAGCTGCCTAGGTGAGGACGTGAGTGCTGGGGTCTTCGGAGGAGCAGGCCGTTGGCCCAGGGTCTCTATTTCCCCACATTTCCCCTGATTCGAAACAGCTTTTCATTCGGGAGGAAGGCGATCCCTCGGCAGAGGCCTTGCTCTGGGTGCTAACGGGCGCTTTCCCAAAGACCATACCCTCGGTTGGCTTACCGTTAGGTCGCACAGGAGGGCTTCGGACCAAAGGGCTGGTTGACAAGCTGGTTAGCACCATTGCTGCAGTCACCTTGTCCATGTCCAGTTCCTCTGACGACTTCCTGTAAAACAGGAAGAAGTGCTGTCTGTCTGTGCTCACTCTACCCATGGCCAAGCAAGGCACTGCAGGCTGCCACATTGACTTTCTGACATATCCTCAGGAAAAACCCAATGTTCTGCTAGTTGATGTATACATAAGAGGCCAAGTGACCCAACCAAAGCCATACACACCAGGAAGAAAGGGGTGCCTTCTTCATGGCGTCCAACAACTATTTGGGTGTGCTGGTGAGCCAGGCAGCCACTCTGTAGGCACCAGCGATGCAGAATGAAGGACAGACAAACCCACCACCCGGAACAGAGAATTTCTGAGAGTGGCAAGTGCGATGCAGGGTTAGCCGTGGACACAGCAGTGCCTAGATGTCTCTGAGGAGTGACTTCTGAGGCGATGTGACGTTGAGGAGGACTTAGTTCTGGGAGTAGAGAGCAGTGTATCTCTACAGCAGTGGAGGCCTGAGGTACCCTAGACGAGTTCTCCAAAGAGACAGGAGGGGGCAGAGCTGTTTCCCCTGGGTCTTGTGCCAATGGCATGTTTCACCTTTACTCCACGTGGGTCTGAGCGTCACTGGACACTTTCCACAGGCCCACGCAATACGGTTAGTACTTGCCAAACCACGGCTGAGCTGGCATCATGTGGAACAGAGGGCAGGAAGGCAGAACAGAAAAGGGAGGGTGTGAGATCGTTGACGGGGGTGTGGATGAAAGAGACTGGTGGCTGGGGCCAGGGGCTGGAGAGACAGGAAAACGGTGGTGTCTGGATGGCTCCAGGAACAACCTGGGCATTCCCAACAGCCTCCACTGACATAAGAACAACCAGATGAGAAAAGCAGTCAGGGTGTTTAAATTCGAGGGTCCCTCCCGCCTTGTCTCTATGTGTGTGCAGGTGTGCGAGTGCTTGGGTGCAAGCATGTGTGTGTGTGTGTGTGTGTGTGTGTGTGTGTGTGTGTGTGTGTGTATGGGTGCGTGGGGGGGGGCTGTGTGCATGCATGTGGAGGCTCCAGGTTGAGTCTGGGAGTCTTCCTGAATTGCTCTTCTACCTTACTGAGGCGCTCATCCTGGCCAGCTCACTCTCGGGATTTCCCATTCACACCTTCTGAGGCTGGAGTCACAGGTGAGCGCCTGCCATTTAGTTGGGTTCCTGGGGATCTGAACTGTGGGCTTTCACCACTGAGCAATCTCCTCGGCCCTCAACCTTTGTTTTTCATTTCACTCCCCACATCCTACCCAAGGAAGACGACGGCATGGGAACAGCTGTGGTAATCACCGAGGGAGACAAGGTTGCTCTTCTCTCATCCTGGCCAGTTAAACACGAACCTGTGAGCAGCCATCATGGCGGCTGGAGTCAGCTGGTGTGAGCTTACTGCCTCGGAGAAGTCACAACCGAGAGGCAGAAATGTATGTAGTACATTGACACAAAGTAAATGATACCACCTCCCGGGAGATGAACATTTTCCAATTAGGGAGCAGCCGAAGCAGCACAACAGACGATTAATAAGCCATATCTGCAGATGGATTGTCACTTTGACAAATGTGGCTTTCCTTCACAGGTGTGCTGGAGGATTTGTGAAAGCAGTGAACTCTAGACCTCAAAACTTCACAGCACGGCTTTACAACTGAGTGGAAAAGAAATCCTTCCACTGGAGAATAGCCAAACACTTCTTTACTTGTGTGTGTGTGTGTGTGTGTGTGTGTGTGTGTGTTGGGGCGGGGGGTGCTGCCTGAGACATTGAGATCATCGGCTGGATGGCATTTAGAATCACCATGGCAACAAACCTCCAGCCCGTCCGCGGGGAACTTACTCCATAGGTGACCTGAGAGAGAAGACCTACTGGAACGTGGGCTGCGCGCAGCAGTCTATGGCTTGGAGGCTGGACTTAATCAAAAGGAGAACGCTAGCTGAGCATAACCATTCAACATTCTCTGCGTCTGACTCCAGAGAGCAGCTGCCTCGGGTCCCTGCCCTTGGCTTCCCTGGAGTGAGCTCACAAACTCTGAGCCCACACAAACCCTCCCTTAGGTTGCTTCTGTCTGCTACTTTGCCATAGCAACAAGACAGGCAGCTAATACATTGCTCCATTAATTTCACCATGAAGTTACCAAAAACCAGCTTGACTTTCTGATACCCAACATGGTACTAAGTTATTCCAAGTTTATTGTTTCAATCCAAGGTGCCAGAGGATGGAAACCTTTGACGTTTTCCGGTATAATTCTTCTCAAAATCCCTTAGGTGCTTACTCCCCAAACTGTCCCATCAAAAGGTAAATTATTTGTTTCAGTGACTGGCAAATAAAAATGCTCGGATAAGCAAGCAGGAGCAGGGACAATGAAATGGCCTCCATGGAAGAGTGCAAGACAATGGCACACCCTCGGAAGCAGAAATCCCTGCGTACACACTCAGCTGCCGCGCAAGCTTTACAGTCATCACAGGGTACAGGGTACAGGATCCGCACACCCTGGGAAAGGCGATGCTGGCCTCCTGCAGAAATGGATTCCCTTGATGCAGCACCGAGAAGAGAGCCTAGTGCGCCTCATGCTCCCCTGGGTGTTTGGCTGGCTCAGTTTCCCCAAGTGACACCAGTGTGGATGTGGGCACAGCTGCATAGGCATTTGCATCCCCTGTTCCGAGACGGAACTACAACCTCTCTCTGTGATGGCCAACCTTCACTGTCGATTTGATTGGATATCAAGTCCCCTAAGAAACAGTTCTGCGAGTATCTGCAAGACCGTTTCCATTAGCAGATTAACTGTGGGAAATGCACCCTGAGTGCAGGTAACACCTCCCAGACTGGGGGCCTAGACTATACAAAGGAGAAAGGGACCTGGGTGCCCACATTCATCGCTCCCGATGGTCAACACAACATGACCAGCACACACCACTTTCCACAATGATGGATGGGACCCTCGAAAGGATACAGTCTGAGGTCTGGGTTGGGTTCCGTTTCTCTGCCAGTTACAGAATGAAAAGGTAGGAAAAATCTGAAGCACAGCAGGTAGCGACAGATAAACCTCATACAACCGTCGTCAGAATTAGCGGTTAAGAAAGGCATTTCTCGGGCGTGAGGAAACCCGTGTGTGTGTTCAGCATACACACAGAGAAGAGGACCCTCTGCTTCACAGAGGGGAGGACTCGGGAAGCCAAAACAATCCAGTCTCTTCTCCAGGCCTGGGGTCTTAAAGCCTCTGAAGACACGTCCTCCTCTACTTTAGGGCTCCAGGTACTGACTGGTACTCTGCTGTTGTGTGACATGTCTTGATCAGGCCTTGAACTTGTTGGGTCAGTCCATCAGCAGGAGACTGGTGGTGGCAGATAAAAGCTGCCAGGCTTCTGTCTTGGGTCAGGAGGCTGAGGAAGAAGCTGGCCATCTTGGAACTCTGCTGCCTTTATACCTAGCCATGGCCCCTCTCCCTGTCTGCCTACCAGGACTGTAGCTCCTGGTCTCTCAAAACTGTGAGACAAAATGAACTCTTGAGTGGCTCCTGTCAGGTAGCTGATGACAGCGACAAGAAAATACGCAGCTAATACACTGCTATTAACAAGAGTTCTAAAACCAGGCTAAGAAGAGCTGGTACCCAGTACATGGGAATGAGAAGGTGCCACAACTTTCCCCTAATTTCTAGCAGGACTTTGTTAGACATCCTTCTACATCCATCTGGGTTTCAAAGACCCTTTCCCCCAAGTTCTCCTTATATCATTTTTAAAGTTTTGTTTTAACACCTAAGGCAAACCTTTTGTTCGGGAGGTCTAGCTAATAATTCAAAAACTGCTTTAACGGCTCTGATGGAAGGCCATGGAGATACCAGGCTAGCTTTGGGTTGGAAGCTTCTTCCATGCTGGCTTGGAAGGTGTTAGGGAGGCTGCCGGGGAGAACTGTGAACAATCTCACCCATCTTCAGACACGACCGACCGGCCAGGCAGGATGTACCCATGAATACAGTACTGGCGACCAACCACTTTCTGTTGGAACTGGGATGCTCTCCACAGGAAGGAACTGACACCTGGTACGGTAAACCTGGCTGAAAGCCCGCGGCTGGGGAGGTCAGAGGCATCAGCGGGGCAAGCGGCCGCTGCTGCTTCTGAGTGACTGTGCTGACGTCCACAGATGCATGCTCCCGCCAGCTTTACTCAGAACAGCCTCTTTCTGGGGTGGACAGCAGCAACTGCAAGGCTGACCAGCGCAGGGACTGAAATGAGCGACTGCTGAATGCTCAGTCAGAAATGGGACATCTCTGTCCCTCCCTTCACGGTTCAGAGAACACTGTGGAAAGAGGGGACAAGAAGAATGGAAGAGCCGGAGGATGGGCGAGGTGTGGTGGAATACTGAAACCAAAAGCAGCTGTGAGCATCTCCATGAGCCCTGCTGAAAAGATGGGAAGGGGCGGGGCTCACGAGGCCCACGCCTTCCCAAGGATCTGCTGGTAGCTGATGGCTGCTGGAGGGAGCAGAGACTTTCTTCCCAGTGTTAAATCCCTGGTAAGGCACATGGTCCTGTAAATAACCTCTCACTCATGCCCCTGAAACATGCCCCAGTGATTGGCTCGCCTAAATAAACACAGGGGTCAAATTTAAATTTAGAAAAGGACAAAAAAAAAAAAAAGACATTAAAGTAGAAGTGGAAGTTACTGGGAAGAAAGGGTCAAGGAGGTGGAGATAGAGAAGATATTGCAGTATAAACACGATCAAAATACATTATATACATGTCAGAAAATATCACAATGTAACCGTTATTCCGTATAACTAATAAACGCTAATCAAACATTGTTGTGGGAAATGCTTTTGTACATTGGTTTAATAAAACGCTGATTGACCAGTAGCCAAGCAGGAAGTATAGGCGGGATAAGCAGACAAGGAGAATTCTGGGAAGAGGAAGGCTGAGTCAGCAGACGCCAGCCTGCCATCCAGGGACCAGCATGTAATGGCACACAGGTAAAGCCATGGAACATGTGGCAATATAGAAATTAAGAGAAACAGGCTGAATTTTAATGTAAGAGCTAGTCAGTGGTAGGC